TAATAATAACAGTGCCTTGTAAATTAAATCCAAAGGACAAATCCTATTGGCTTTCAAACTGATCTATTTATACAATCGCGATGGGTGGAAGGATTATCAACTGTTCGTAAATCCCGTGATTTACAGGCGCGACGGGCAAAAAAATGCGTATTGACATTGTTTTGTCGCTGGTCTGGTATTAACAAACAAATTATAAAGTCATTTGAAAGTCTCACAATTCGAAAACGATTGCAAAGGCTGACAAAAATTAATTAGCATTTGAACACACGCATCGCATTATTTCTCTATTAACTCCTTCTCTTATTGCCATTTTAGGTAAAAAAAAAAGAGAAGAAGATGATGATGATGAAAAATAAGCAGATTGATCTTTTTTGCTCATCTGTGAGTGAGAGAAGGAGATACAAAACATATCTTCGCATGGAAAGAAAAAGTGAATACTTCATGCGCAAATATAGAAGATTTAGTGGTGGGCAAAAAGCGCGGTGTATTTTTTTCAATATCACTACAAATGTTTCTTCTTTCGCTTTTTTCATCGCGGGCGAGACTTATTGGTGTGCTGCACACGATTTAGAAATTCTGTCAGTTTTGTATTTTCTTTTAGCCGCGCACTTTTTCGTTACGTTATGGGGATTTAATCGGTCAATAATTATTGATTTATCGTTTTAACTTACTTTCGTAACATTGAATTCTGGGTCAGAAAGCAACAAGCAAATTGTTTAACATGAAAACAGCGAAATGGAAAAATAACTAAATATATTGTTACAATATATACATATGTTTGCTCAATGCGCCGATAGAGAAAGAGAGAGAGAGAGAGAAAGAAGAGAGATGAAAAGTGAGCAATAACAGACAGAGAACATGCAAAGAAATTGTCTTTCTTCTTCCCCTGGCATTTTGGATGACAAATTTAGTTATTGGTAGGAAAATTTGACAGTGTTTGTCGGCAAAAGTCTTGCGGAAGAATCTATGAAAGACACTTTATCTGGGATTTCATGCCGTTGTGCGTTCTCTTCGTCACTTGAATATCACACTGCAAATAAGCAGAGCGCGATGGAAGTTGAGAAAATTAAGAGTATTCATATATATCGAGAGAAAATCAATCAGATGAGACGCAATTGTACATGACTTTTCTATAACGTGAAAAATGAAACTTTCTGCTTGTCTTTTCTCTTTCCTCCTGAAGTCTCTGCACGTGTTGAGAAATGATGAAGATGCTGCATAGATTTTGTGTGCTAAAGTCTTTTGCGAATTGTTTCTCAGGCATTCCCCGAAGAGTCACATTTTTCTCAAGATTCTTCCAATTTCTCAGCGTTCACAGAAAAAAAACTCACCTCATGAATATTTCACGTGCAAAAAGGCATGACTTTTCATCACATTTCTTCACAACTGGAGATCATAAGTCAAACTTTTGCCCACACACGCAGACTTCCCGGTTTTTGGAGGTGAATTGCAGAAAAAACGAGCCTTTGGGCGGAGACTTTAAAGATGAGTGATTTTAGGGAAGAAATATGATGTTCAATAGGGACAAAAAGAATGGTTTAAAAACGTGTAGTTTTCATACATTTTTTTTCCCAGAAGACAAGACAAATAAATCCGTAAATAAAACAGTCCGTAGATATATTAGGGAAGCTCCTCGAAATGGGCAAAAAGCTGTGCCGCAGGTCAAAGGCGAAAGGTTGTCTTTTCTCTTTCCCAATGTTGGTCTTCCTTATCTCCCAAGACAGCCTCGAAAGTCGAACTGACAACACAGTTTTTGGAGTAAATTTGGAAGATGTTAAAGCACGTGCACGCTTTTCGTGTCACTTTCACTCACACTTTGGACGAACTTCGGCGTCTTTTTCGAACAATAATAATCTGGTTGAAAAGTTGAGGACGAAAAACTCTGAATCTTTAATTTGTTTTAGTCTTCGCACGAGCGCTAGTTTGAACCGCAATGATATTTTCCTAAAGGTCAAGGATTCTTGATTAATACATTAAAATTCATTTTGGCTGGTGTTCTATAGTTAAGATAAGGCGTGTTGACTAATCAAACTATTTCCAAAATTATATGCCTTTATTGCACAATTTTATTACCCAGTGAAGATATGGATCTGAAGAAAAACTCTTCTTGAAGATGATCTGCCTAATTTGCCTACAAATTGCTCAAATGGTTGTTTTTAATCGCAGATTTATTCCACAAACGAACATTGTGTTACAATGCACGCGTGAGATTTATCTTTAGTAACAATAAAATTTAAATTTACCTCTTCATTTAATATGCATTTATAACAATTCACTCAAGTGTGCTCTTTCGGAATTATAATTGCACTTTCAATGCACTGGATTTTCTCCAAAAAATTGTTTCATTGTCCGCGACAGTTTGCATCTCTCTTCACGCATAAATTTTCCATATTTCACTCGAAAAAAGTGAATTATGCAATTTTTATTTAGCGGAATAAATAACCCAATATTTTCGATAAACTGCTGATCTTTTGCAGTTAATTTTCCTTCATCAATTCTGTGCTCATCGCATTTGTTTTCCCCGTTTTTTTCGATCGCACACTAAAATGTGACTTTCTTATTAAATGCAATCACATTTATTGTGTTTACAACTGCGACTTGAATACTTTATTATCACATGGCATTACGCAACTGGGGTCACTTTCTGGTAAATTGACAAGATAAGTCTCGTGCTGGAGCGACGATAAGATGGCCAGAAATGCCACAACAATTTTGACTGGCGCTGTTTTGAGCCGTTCTTCTCGGCAGACGCTTTGGAGGAAATCCCCGCGCGATTTAGAACAAAGAGATGTGTTTTGGCACACTGACTGTGTCAGCATTGAACCACTTTCTCTCTCAAAGGCCCTCTTGTCGTGCTGCGTTCAGTTCATTTAATACGTACACTGCGAGGCAAAATCTCCCCCTTGTGCTCAATACTATATGGCTTTTCACTCTGGTCTGGTGCACAAACGCATGGCGAATTTTCTATTGTGTATATGTTTCTCTAAATGTGGTCACTCTCTATTAGTCTGAAAATCAATGATAATCAATTTTCCTCTCAATTGAAAGCGACTTTCGCGGTGCATTTCAATCGCGGCGCGCGCGCAGGCCTAATATTTTCACTCTATGCAATGTGCGGGATATTTCCCAATGCTTTTCATGGTTAATTGCACAATTTTTCATCTCCAATTTATGCAAACAGCTTCCATTTATTCTCCGTGGCGTATTTTTTCCTGTCTTTCACTTTTTTTTTCGAACCTCGCGTACGTGTGTTTGGGTAACGATATTATTAATTGCAAATGACGATGTCAATTTTTTTGCCTCCACAATTTGCCGCGTGTGTGATTGTGAATGACACAGAAAATGATTAAATGGCGCAATTTGTAAATAGAATAGAATAGTCGCGCATTTGACCATATTCGTGTCTCCTTGGCGCGTCGCGACGCGAACAGTGAGTGGCAGAAGAGTGCAAACAGCTGCTGAAGGGAATATTTTTTGCTGCTTTTTACAATTGCATTCCTCGCATTGTGTCTGAAATATTGCATAATGCCTCCCACATTGTCGCTCTTCTTTTATTAAATCCGGGGCACAGTTGCAAGTGACATTTCTGACATTTTTTTTTTCTAATATTTGCCTCCACATTTTCGCTGTGGAAAGAAATCATTCTTTTCCTCCTCACGACGGCCATGCGAAAATTATACAGCACTCATCTCGAATAAATGCCAATAATTTATGCTAATTGCCGCTGTGGATAATCAATTCGATTTGATGCAAATGGAAACAGTGTATGTATTTTTTATGGGCAGCGAGAATGAGCTGCGAAGGAGAGTGAAAATGGGCATGGAAAATTCAGCCAATAAAATTGATCACATGCACTTTTTATTTAATAATATTTATGGTAATTGCCCATTGGGTATCTCTGCATGTTGTGCTAAAATGCGAACATATATCGCGAAAGCCGGAGAATTATTTGACCCATTTATTCATTTTTGCAGTCACACTCTGTCATATTTGTCACGAGCGGCGGCTTTTTTCGTAGGGCTTTTTGGCTGTGATGAGAGGAAGTGCCGAAAAATGCTGTGTTAGATGCTTTGCGTGCATCGAGGCTTTGCCACAAATTGCCACACGAGAGAAATTGGCGGCATTTCCGCGAACACACAATCCCTAATATCTCATGACCTCAGCGCGGAAAACAATAACGCCAAAATGCACTTTGCTTTAGGCTTCGAAACATTACAGCGATACAACTCGAGATGACTTGAAGCTCACAAAGCATATTCAGAGATGCGGAGAATTTGACGTGAAACCTGTTCTTACTAGATTCTAATTTCAAATTCAAATGAAGTTTTTGCTTGATTTGTTGGCTTTTTTCTCTCTGTGTGTAGAAGCGAGAACATGTTTCTTCGATTTTCAATAAAAGCATCTTTACGACACTTTCACGTCGGTGTGATTTAGAAGTTTAGGCGAGAAAAAATTACCTTGAAAGTTGGTTTCAAGAGCACAAGGTTTATTTTATGTCGGCACTGCGAAGCGTATGTGATCGACGATCTCGCTGATCATTTATTAATTGAAACTTCGATACGCAGTTGATTGCCAAGAGTTTTATTATAGTGGCGGATAAGAGCGCGATTTAGGACTACCGACATCGATATTCTATGAAAGTTCTCTTATTTTCGTGAAACAAGTTCTATTTTAGAGGGAAGAGAGTCGTTTCACTCGTTTTTCCTTCACATTCGTAGGGATCAGTTCTGTGGTGCGCTGCACAATTAATACAATGTTGCAGAACACAGCAAGATGCACTTGTATGACCTGACTTCGGGCAATTAAGGCAGTGAAGAATGAGAGTTGAATGTACAATTTCTGAGGCGTTCCTTGAAACTTTCGAAAACTTCTCGAGCACAAGTGCGATCAGAATTGATCGGCATGTCTGAATAGCATTATGCGCGAGTTCAAGAGCATCCGCGAATGGTGCTAATGGGTCTAGTGTGTAACTAATGTCGTGCCTTTCGCTCTCGTTGCAGTGCGGGACTCTAGAGGAGGCGCCCGATTCCCTGAAGCGATCCTCCTCCAGAATGGACTATCACAGCTACCGGCACCACCAGGTGGACGATGGCTTCCACTCAGACGGCAGCGGCGCCGAGACGCCGCCACTCAGCCCGGGTGGCGGTGGCAGCACGTCCTCGGCCGCCTCGATAGCCTCGCTCACGTCCGATCACGGATCTCTGGAGTCGGTGGACACGAGCGCTCAGCGGCTGGCCGTGCTGTCGTTTGAGCAGGTGCGCAAGCTGAATGACGTGATGGACGAGGTGGTGTCGATCCACGGGCGCGGCAACTTCCCCACGCTCGAGGTGCGCCTCAAGGATCTGGTTACGCTGGTGCGCAAGAAGCTGGAGCTGGACGTGGCGTCCGGCGGCGCTGGAATGACGGTGAAGGACATCCGCCTGAATGGCGGCGCCGCCAGCCACGTGTTGGCCTCCGAGGCGCAGCCCTACAATGATCTGGACCTGATCTTCGCGCTGGAGTTCAGCTCGGGTCGCCACTACGACCGCGTGAAGTCCGCCGTGCTGAACTCGCTGTTCGACCTGCTGCCGGAGGGCGTCTCGCGGCGGCGCATCACGCCGTGCAGCCTGAAGGAGGCGTACGTGGGCAAGATGGTGAAGGTGAACAACAACAATGACGGCGATCGATGGAGCCTGATCTCACTGGGCAATTCGCCAGGGCACAAGAATGTGGAGCTCAAGTTTGTCGACACAATGCGCCGCCAGTTCGAGTTCAGCGTGGACAGCTTCCAGATTGTCCTGGACTCACTGCTGCTGTTCTACGACTGCGCCGCGCTGCCCATCAGCGAGAACTTCTATCCCACAGTGGTGGGCGAGTCCGTGTATGGCGACTTCCAGGAGGCGCTGTACCATCTGCAACACAAACTGATCTCAACGCGACAGCCCGAGGAGATCCGCGGCGGCGGGCTGCTCAAGTACTGCAACCTCCTCGTGCGCAACTACCGTCCCGTCGACACGGACAAGATCAAGACACTGGAGCGGTACATGTGCAGCCGCTTCTTCATAGACTTCCCCGACATACCCACGCAGACGGTGAAGCTGGAGGCGTACTTGCGGAACCACTTCTGGGGCGCGGACGAGGAGTCGCTGCAGTATCAGTACCTGATGCATTTACACGAGGTCGTGGAGACGTCCACGGTGTGCCTGATGGGCCACGAGCGCCGGCAGACGCTGCTGCTGATCGAGTCGTTGGCCATGCAGGTGCTCTGCCGCGAGCAGCAGAAGAGCCAACCCGCCGCCACGCCGCAGCCCAAGAGTCCGCCCGCGCCGGCGCAGCAGCAGCTCACCACGCTCCCGCCGCAGCCGGCGGGCCTGCTGTACGCCAACGGCGTGTACTACGCCCCTGTGATTCCCACCACCTTCTGCACCTGCAACAGCACGTGGGTGCCCAGCACGTGATCGCACTCCCGCCGGCGCCCGCAGGACGACCGTCTCGAGGATCACGACGCGCCCCCTCACCACAGATGATGCTCTCCCGACGCCCCCCGACCTCTCTCTGCGGCTCTGCCCCCGCGGAGAGCCTGGCCCGCTGCGCGCTAGAGAAAGGTAACGCCCCGCCCCCCCGCAAGCCCCGCCCCCAGGGCGACGCAGGACGCAAGTCCGGTCGAATGTAACAAATGTACTTCCACTTAATTACTACATAGCATACCTTAGTGCGAAGGCAGTTGAAAATCGCTGCGAGATCGCTCTTGGAACTTTTGTGTATAACGATTATAAGATTCCCAAAAAAAAGCTCTTAATGTACAACTTTGAGACGTGTAGTTCGTCAATTTTACTTGCTATATATACTTGTGTAAATTAATCCCTTAATGAAATTGAATTTGAATTAAAAAAACGCTATTCAGTGTTGTTGGTGTTAATCATGGAACATTTATATACCAATCAAGATGAAAGAAGTACTTGAAAACATAATTACATTACAAAGCATTGTGAAGAAGAATCGTAGGTGAAAATATTAACAGAATCTGTGAATGCATGCGAGATGAAAAGCTCTGAAATGAGTAGAAGAAAACCATTATTTTTGTCATTTGAAGAGGAGCAGCAACTTTTATACATACTTGTGGATGATGAAAGAGACAGGATGTAAACGAAGAGGGAAAATATACATTGAATTTTCAGAGGAATAACACACAAAAAAGTGGTACCAAGTGTTTAATATTTTTGCTAGAGAAGTCTTCATCAGAATAAGAATGTTTCAATACGAGATGAAATTTATCCGAAAAGACTGGCTTTTGCGACAACATTTCTTTTTCTTTTCAATGTTCAAAAGTAATGGATTGAAGCGATTAATTTTTTGTTATTGTTTTCTCTGCAGTTTCCGGCCTCAATTTCGCTAAAAGGTGAATATTTAGTGTATTAATCAAAATTGTAGAAGCAATTTCCTGTGTGACGAAAATCAAATCTTAGCTCAAATATCCACTGAGAGCGCGAATTAGAGAAGCTTTTTGCCTCCCCACAAAAGCTGTGCTGACACACATTTTTCACTGCAACACTGTCGCAAGAGAATAACATTAAATAAATCAATCAAGTTGGATGGACAAAAAAGAAATCTTACAAATATTGTGTAAATGTAGATTGATGTAGAGAAAATACAAGAGTGAAAAGCTGAGTAGAACTTTTTGTGTCTCACTTTTCGCAGCACACTTAGAACGAGAGAAAGAAAGAAAAAAAAAACAAATTTCACTAAAAGAAATAAACTCTGGAATACGCGGGAACTTTGAAACATTGAAAGGAGAGAAAAATCAGTAAAAACGTGAAAAGTGATTTTAAAAATAACAAAATATTTTAAATGTAAAGCGTAAATTAACTATATTACCACTACACAATATACATAGAGTGAATATAAAGTAGTTGACAGAAATATTTTGGAGAAGATCTTAAAATATTTTACTAGATTCTAAAAGTGGATGAAAAACACAAAGTGAAAATTTACTAGCATGTAATTTAAAGCAGTAATGAGAAAAAAGAGAAAAATACCAGCTAAGATTTTAAAATATTGAAAAGAGAAAAATATGAAAAAAATCATATAAAACACATTTCTGTGATTACAAAAAAAGTGTAAAAGAATATTAACATAGTCGAAGAGTTATTTTTAATGGAGAAGATGGAGTTAAGGATGATGAATGGGCGCGTGAGGTAGACAAGCAGATGAATGAGGCGCGAGCGAGAGAGAGAGAGCAACACTGGGAGCAAGATTTCTGCTAAATTAATCATTTTGTGAAATACAAGTTGTCCCAATGACACGAGAGAATATCTCACAACTTTCTTACAAGTTATTCTTCAATCTTCATTCCATTCATAGCGTTACTCTCCATCCGAAATAGTGAGGAAATTTAAAAGAAGCCAAATTCGCGAGTTTTGTATTTTGTAAAGTGATGGTGAATTGCAAGCTGCTTGACATGTGTCAATAAAATTTCAAGATAATGACAGGTGTCAATGTCAAATGCGACATAGTTTGTTTCCAACGTTTGCTCCACTTCTCGTCCGCCTGTAACAATAATTTTGAGATTATCTTCATTCCTGAATTATGTTTCAAGAATTGTAATATTTGAAGATTTATTGAATAAAGCGAAATGCTATCTGTGACAACTGTCCATGCGCTTTGTGACTTGGGATATTTGGTCAAAGGAAGAAAAATACTGTTGAACACACACTCAACTGACGATTCATATATTGATATTTTTTTTCAACAAAACAAATATAAAGAAAGGAAATATTCGGGAGGTTATAACAATTTTGTTGATACGTAAAAAACAACAATGTGACATTTTTTCTGTGACGTTCAATTAAAAAAAAAAACCATTTAAATAGATGTATCTATTTAATTTAGGGTGTTTTCCTTCTAATATTTCTTTTTATGATTTTTTCTATATTGCCAAGCAAATAATTAACACAACGTAAATGTTAATGTAAATAGAGAATGTCCTGTTTTATGCGGAGGAGAAAAACACAACATACACACACATATTTTCTGTTTTCTCTTTTGCATGAGAGAAATAAAGGTTTGCTCGACAAGGGAAAAGAGGACAACAAAAAAAGCAGAGGAAAAGCAAAACAGAAGGAACGGAAAAAATGAAGAGAATATATGAAAAAAGGTGTAAAACATGTTAGACTGTACAAATCGATTGTAAAATCTTTTGAATTTTTATATTATTATTATTAATGATAACAGAAATATTTAAAATTCAAATGAAGAAAAAAATCTTATTATAATTATAAAAAAAAACTCTTAGAGAAAGAGAATACTTTTAAGAAAATGAAATTATATCTGATAATATGTTTAAAATGAGAAAGAAAAAATGTAGAAAATGTTTAAATAAACAACTATAAAATGTGAAAAAATCAAAAAAAAATCGGCCTTTTTCTTCACAACTCTGCGCGATCGTCGCTCTGCGGCATGGAAATTCCATAAAGTGAAGGAGGTTTGAACCTTGACAAATCCATCCATCACCATTTGTGCTAATATTTCTGCCGAACGGCCGAGTGTGAAAATCTCTCAGAGCTCTTTTCGAGCGATCGCGAGGATCTCTCGTGATCTCGAGAAAGGTTAATTTGACGGGCTCGGCAGCCGCTCTCTGATTTTTTTCTGCGCGCCGCCAAACTTCGCATGTGTTCGTGGCCGATTTGGTGAGTGTATGGGAAAACTAGTAATTGTAGTGTATTAATAATAAATAATAATGTAAAAAAGAAAAGTGCCACCTTGACTTAATTTGTTTGGCGCTGCGAGCAAAGTGATCGATGCAGTTGTGAGAGACTGACAAGAATCCGGACCAAGCTCTTTGCTGACCTCAATGCCAGTGATCTGTGGTGGGCATATATGTATGTAAATGACTATCTATAGACAGAATTATATGTGCTTAAGGTCGCCCAATTATTATTTGATCGCGAGCATGCGCAGATTCTGCAATTACAACTCCATCGCCACGAGAGCGCGGCCAGCGGCGGCAGGAGATCCGCCAAGTGAAATCCTTTGCGCGCGATCTCGTGATCTCACGAGCCGCGCTCCGTCGCGGATGACACTGCGCGGCATGTGACGTGACGTAAGAGTCGAGGAGGCATCATAAATTATTTTATAATCGAGTGAATGGATTTGTCGTTGATCTCGCCACATGCAAAAGATCGCATGAAGTGATCGCACTCGCAGCATATCTGCGTCAGCTGATGCTTTACGATGAGATTATTTTAACAAATACACTGTTCGCCACATCGCAATAATTCACATCACATTCGCCCATACACTTGCTCTTTTCGCTTGGAAGTCATCGATCCACAATGCTCATTGGCTCTATTTCTGTGCACAGCGCTTTCCATGGCAGATTCACGCTGTGCCAAATCGAGTTCCACGCTTCGCTTGTCCTGCAGGACTGTCTATCTATAATCCGTCATAGGGGAGATGATTGTCTAAGATTTGTGCATCATGTTTTGTCAATTCCACAACTTATATGTGAAATTGGCAATTGGCTTTTGATTTAAACCATTTCAACCTGATTTGAACACAATTCGCCTCGACGAGTGTCATCAAGCCTCTAATACGTGGCGATAATTTCTGCAGGAAAACCTCAAGATGTGCTTAAGCTACTTTCACTGATCTGCACACCATTTCCCACCTGATATCGGCGTCCCTCAACTTGCGAGCCTGCGAAGTTCATGTGCGCGAGCTAGAAACTCGGTGGCAGAGGAAATAAAAGGTCTTATTTGCAGATGATAAAAAACAGGTGAGTCATGTTGATGTGACGGATACGGATGTCACTTGGCTGGTTTTCATTGCATTGAAAATGAGACAGAGAAAAAATTCATCACAATTGCGATCGCGACTTCGAGAGTGATCTTGTCTCATGATCATCTGAATATCACGCTGCTGAGCTCCACTTTTTTTTTTGCTCCCCCCGCGCAAAAGTCCTCGCTTGCAGTGCAGAAACAGGTATTGAAAAAAAGACGCGCCAGACGAATTTATTGTCAACGGATCGATGGGTATGAAAATGAAAATGACATTTGAAAACAAATGTGTGGCCATGACTTTCATTAGTCAAAGAGTTCTTACAGTGTGTGGAAAAGCGACTAAATGGCCTGAACTTTTCAGCGAGAGCCGCAACGTTCACCACGCATAATTTACAATTTTAAATTAAATCCAGCACATTGTTTTACTCTTTACAACAATTTTATTATTTTCCAGCACAAAAGTCACTTCGCCCCTTTCGTCAAAGTGGCGTGTATTCAAGCTAGTTCGCCATCCAATGGTTTATTCGAAAAATTTGCCTACAAACAGAGGATTTAATGTGATCTTTTTGAGGAGTTTGAGGCACTCAAAGGACCCAAAGATAACTGCTAAACCACTCGATTGTCCAGTGAATTCATTATCCGCCTGCAGTGTGTGCGAATAACCCTGTTGAAGCAACAATTGCCACTCGTTTTTAACGTTCTTCTCTGGCAAAGTAGACAAATCAAGGTCAGTTTAGCCAACAAAAATCAATCAAAACAGCACAATTTCTACAGCGCAAGTATATAAAATTCACAAGCAATTAAATTGAATTTCAGCCACTGTTATGTCATCCCTTGTATATCGTTTTCACCATTCGCCCATTGTCAATAAAATGGACACAATTCAGCTCAATATAATTCGTGAAAGACAGGCACAAGAGAAGAAAAAAAAGATGAAATTTGGTGCAGTGAGAAAATAAAATCGAATATTATGAAATAATAAAAGTTTATATTCCTTTCTGATTTGCGCGGTTTGTGGGACAAAAAAGTGCGCTATTTTGCCACTCGTGTAAGCATTTAATTGGAGTTGATGGATACCCGAAAAGAGAGGTAAAATGGCTTGATTGAGTTCATCGACCAGTTCTCCCAGTAAATAATTGCTACAGATTTGGAAACACTGCCAAAATTCACATGAAATTCGGGTCTCTTTCGTTCCTTCTTTTCACTCTCTTTGGCCTGGGTTAATTGCACAATTTACCTGATCACAAAGAGAGGTGGCTTTTTCGGCAGAGGGCGATGAACAGACGCCCACACGTCGCATTCAACCCAGGAAATCCAGCTGTGACAGAATCCGTGGCCAGAAACTCCCGCTGAAAGTGTTGCGCTCGAGCGTCAGTTGGACAAGGAAATTGATACTGGCGGCAAACTGCATGATAGAATCAATATTGAAATTTAATTACATGGCATAGCATTGCGATTTGCGCCGGTGATTCGTCCTGCTCAGGAGCACTTTAATTGGTCTAATGGAATTTTAGCAAATTCGATGTGAATTCGCAGAGGTGTTTTAGAGAAATTTCACCTCTTCGGAAATTAAATAATGTGGGCTGAAATAATGGTTCTTTGTTGGGGCAAATTTGGATTTTATGTTTGTCATTCATACGGAAAACAATACCAAAACTCTATTTGATGCTATAAAATGATTAATACCTTCATAATTACCCTGGCAATCGAGTGCGCGTTTGAGGCTGACAAATTCTGTGGTTGCGCTGGAAAAGCATCAGCTGTTTGATTTGAGGCGAACAGAGAGTGAAAAGCCAACAGACCAGCGAAGGTAAATTATTCTCTAACGAGAATTGAGCTCTCCGTGGCTGTAGTGCTTAAGTGTAAAAGACATGGCACCAGATGAAACGATTTTACGTAATAAAATGGCGAGAGACAACACAAGGAACGGCGGTTGTGGTGGGGAACAGTGTTTGTTCAGGTGCAGATCAAAGGTTACGAGAATTGACTTTCAGAAATGGTATTTTAAATTAGAAACAGAATTGGATTTCTTTTCATTGTACACCTTCCAGTATGGATCTTTTGCTCTTTACCTTCTTTTTGCGCTCTGGATTTCACGCCAGAGCCCAAAAAGGCGGGGAGAAATGTGCACATGAAGTGAAATATTATTTCACTGAAACACTGAACTCTGAATATAGATGTTGTGATAGGTGGGAATTGGAGGTGGAATGGTGGTGATAAAAGGGCGCTTAGAGGGTTTGCGTGTCACTTTGAGATGGAGAAAATTGATGGAATTCCAGATTTGCTGTTTTGGTAATCGATCAGCCGATGAAAGTAAACTCCCAAAAAGGAAGAAATAAATACTGAAGGGCTGACAAATTCACGGGAAAAATATCACAATCAAGAGTCTCTTTGTGTAATGGAGAAGTGACTGCATTTGGAGCACTTTATCGATGCGACATCTTCATGAGGCAATCAATTACAATTCTCAATTTAATGTGTTGTCGTGAGCAATAAAACGGATAAATTAAATTGCAATACAGTCACAATTTAATTAAAATGGAAATGCGCCATCATTACAGCGAAAAGGTAGTTAAATTAGCAATTTTCTCACCATCAACTCTAGTCTATGAGGAGAAATTGGTATCGGATCAACAGGAAGAAAGTAAAAATAGGTCTTTCTGAGCACTTCTGATTGCGCTTAATAAATTTGCAAATATAGAGTTTGTTTAAATATGAGCTTGTGGCTTCTCTGCAAGTTGTGTGTCAATCTGCAAAATTCACACGAAACTCTTCAGAGCGCCCACAAACAAATATGGGTAATTGAAAATACTTCTGCATTGAAGCACTTGCTGTTAAATAACTCCCACTTTTGCACTGCAGAGAATCCGTGGAAGCGACAGCAATGCTGAGCATGTGTGTTCTTTGCATATTCCGCGGGTGCATCGTGATTAAAATGTACAAGAAGTTGCTGACTGATTAAAGTGATTAAAAACTCTGTCACTCCAACAAGGAGATAACATTGGCCGATGAGCGAGAGAAGTTATGAAAATGTTTTACAATTGCACACACATGTTCCATGCTGAGGTTCATTGATCCAATGGAAAGGAATTAATTGAAGTTTGCTGTTAAAGCATCAAATATTTGTCGTACGTAATTAATAACATGTCTCACTATTTGCCAATGCTGCAGCAGAGCCTCGACATTCACCAATCGATGGCCAATAAATTGTCTACATTATTCGCCGAATAATTCAATGGGATTTTCAGAGAGACTATCAGTAACCGCAGTCTGTATTTGAGATGTGGGCTCTTTGTGGGAAAGTGAAGTAGATTTCCGTACTTCTTGTTAATTGAGGAGCAAGAAACACTACTTAGAATATTCCTGGGGCAAGACTATGAGTGTTTCTTTGCATAGCTGCAACATTAGCTAAATATGATGCCTGAGCTTCCTCTCTCTCGCGAAGCGATTGCATCAATTGCGATGTCGAAAGGCATCGGGAACGAGACTGATTAGTTAATGGGGAAGTTTTTCGCTAATTCGCGATGAGCGATTAGGGGGAAAAATAAAGTCATTTGCCGATAAGTG